AGCTCCAGGCCTCCCAAGGAGACAATGTGGCAGACCCTGGCCAAGTCCAGCAGGAGGCCATGGATGGCGTCCCCTCCCATAGCATCCCAGTGGGCTGAGGAAGTGCCAGAGGGTAGTGAGGGCTGCAGCGAGGACAGAGGGGCGTGAGAGTAACAGTGAGGGGGGGTATCAGGTGGACAGCCAGAGGCGGAACAGACAAGGTCTGCACAGAGACGGCAAGAAACTCCCAGGACACGCCCAGAACACGGAGCGAGAGCAGAGGTGAGGCCCGGGGGTAAGGAGGAGCCCAGTCCTTTAGGATATTTAAGCTGCATCATGGAGTTTGGATCCTACCTGGAGGGCACTGAGATGTTGAAGATACATGATCCGCAGGAGGGTGACAGGATTAGATCTGGGTGGCAGAAGGAGCCCTCTGGAAACAACCCAGGTGACCATCAATGGGATGGAGTTGAGGTGGAACATGCACGCGATGGAGTACCGTGCAACGGGCAAAATGAATGAACTGCTGCAACAATATGAGATGAGCGAACATCATTTAAATGAAGAAAACAAGTCCCAGGGATACATTTGAAACAGCATGGTATCCTTTCTACTGTTTTGAGTTTAAAAAAGATACGCACACACCCCTAATACATTACGTTTTAGGAACAAATACAGATGCAGTAAACCATTTAAAAGTGGAATCAAGGAGATGATGACCATAGATTCAGGTAGGCGGTGATCTTGAGGCAGGGAAGGCAGGGGTTGTCACGGGGGAGCCAAGTCCCTAGCTGGCGTTTTGTGTGGTGGATTTGTGGGAGTTCGTTAGAGAATTAAAACTAGCTGACTTATTAGCACTAACTGGATGTTACATCAAGCCTAACCATGCGTGGGGCAACGGTGAGCTTCCATCATGAACCAAACATCTCGAATAATCTAATTCTGTGCATCAGAGGTCCCCAAAGTAACAACACCAGAAAAGCCAAATACGCATATGTCTCCACACCTCTGGCTTCAGGGTGAGCGTCCACTGTGGAAATGTATGTAAGAGTGGAAGCAGGGGGACCCGTGGAGGCCGTTGAAGCTTCCAGTGAACATGAAGGTGGGTCTTACCGGTGGTGTGTCAGCGAGGTCGAAAAAAACAGCACCTTGGTAGCTGTGAAGGGCTGAGCTCTCGCTACACAGCCATCAAAGTGAGTGAGGCTATTAATATTTCTATGAGCTGCTCCATGAACATGCCCTGAGGACTGTCATCCTGGGCCACACTCTCATCATCTGTAATGTCAGTACTAGCTCAGTCCTGGGACTTTTGTGATGTGTTCTTGGCATGTGTATGGGAACAAGGGAGTGGTAGTTCCTTTCTTCTTTGCCTAGGAGTACCTCATTTCTGATTTCTGTGCCAGTTCCCCTTACCATCCTTACAATATTCAACTCTGGAAATTCAGTGAGGTCTTCCTGAGGCCCCTTCTTGATGTGTTGTCAGCCAAGGGTGTGAAAGTGGCCACTAGGTGTCACTGTTCTCCTTACAGGCGATCTGGAGCCCTGGGAGCACTAGTCATAGATTCATTCAATCAGTAATTATTTTGGGGCACCTACTGTGCCAAGTACTGTGTCACACCCTGGGAAGTGAAGAGTATGACACGTAGACATGGTCTTTATCTGCGTGGAGTTTACAGAGTTTTGGAGAAGACAGATATCAATGGAACAATCACACAAATACATAAAGACAGACTGTGCTAAGTACCAAAAGGAGTCCACGGCCGTGGTTTGAAAGTGTGTAACAGGGGCCCTGAGGAGGTGACATTGAAATGGAATCTTTTGGGGCCAGGTACATAAAGCGAACTTGGAGGACTGCGTTTGGGGCAGGGGAGAAGGCTGAGCACATGCTTGGTTGAAGGCCCAGCTCCTGCAGAGGCCTGAAGAATTAGCAAACAGGGCCCATTTCCCCCAGCGGCTGAGTGACAACCAGTGTGGCCGGGGCTGAGACTGAGGGCCAGCCCCATGGGCAATGCTGACGGGAGGTGGCAGCACCAGACGGAGCGCAGCTGTGAAGGCTGTGGTGGCGAGGGGTTTGGTCCCTGGTGTTGCGGAGCCATGGAGGGGTTCAGGGGGAGAGCATGGGTGCTGGTTCTCAGCTCAAGCACCGCTCCTCTCAGTCACCCCTGCACGGAATGTTAGAGCTGGTGTCTAGAGCTGGCTCCCTCCTGGTCTCCGGTTTCCTCACCCCCATCCTCAAACCCCCAGACAGGCCTGTTTAAAGTTTCACAGCAGCCTAGGGCTGTGGCGTCTTAGGCATCTCCAAGGGAGCCAGGCTGTGGTGGGAGTGGATAGGACAGCCCCTTTAGGTCACGAAATGAGCCTGGAGGAGGGGAGTATGGCCACTGAGGGAGGCCGGTGTGATAAGAAAGCAGCCGCTCTCATGATCTCAGGCACCTGCTTTTCTACCTCTTCCCACACCCCCATCACTCCTCATGATTCCTCCAGCTCTCTGCCTTTCTCTGCAGCCGGAGGCAGAGACCACATGCGGAAAACTCGAAAAAGGCCTGGACTCTCACACTGCAAGAGGCTTTGTCTAAGTGGAATCAGCTAGTGCAGGCTCTGCATCCCACCCAGGTTGGGCTGGAATCCCCTAGTCACCGTGTGATGCTGAACGACCTCTCTATACCTCAGTTTCCACATCTGTAAAACGTGGTCTCATGATCCCTCCTTTATGGGAATCACATGAGATACATGGCTCATAGCATGTAATGGGCAAAATTTATCTATAATGATAAAAAATATGGTGTGTCTAAACCGGCCCCTTCCTTTCTCTATGGTCCCTTTGGTACCTTCTCTTCTTGGTGGTAACTTTGCAGATGCCCAAAGAGCTGGGGACATGATAATTAGGGTGGGATCTGTATTTTGTATGGGAGAAGTCATTGCTTAACCCAAAAGAGCAGATCACAAATGGAGGGAATTTAGAATGAGTTTCTCACTTTATAAACACTTCTGGAACTCACACTCTGCAGGTAAGGAATACCGAAGGTGGAGTTAAACATTAGCATAACGATTTCCCTCTCTTGTAGACCTTCCAAAGCAGGATGGAGCCATTCTTCTATGTCAGAACTCCCAGTCCCTTGAGCTATTTGAGGTGCCGAGCAGCTCCTGAGTCCCATTTTATGACACAGTCAGGAGTATCAGAAAGGGGGTATGACTTGCCTGAGGTCTGTGGGCAGCTCTGGTCTCTGAGTCTGGGCCAGAGCCAGAGTGTGGTCTGGACAGCCTCGGGACCACCGGACACTAGCCCCGTGGTGGCTGGGGTGGCCTCGCATCCATGTCTGCGAATACGTGGGAAAGGAAGGTGCCTTCTGCCCCAGCTGGAAAAGAACCATCATTATTCTTCACCCTGTGGTTTTGAACAAGCAAAGCAGGAAAAAAGTCTTCATGATGGAAACTTTGATTAATATGTAAATCTCCTCCCTCCACCTGTTAAATGACCCGTACACAGCCCAAAGCCCCAGAGCTTGGCTGAGCATAGCTAGTACTTAATGGACAAGACTCTGTGTGCCTGTTAATTTAGCCTTTGAGTGAAGACAGAGAGGAGAGTCCAAGTGGGGGAGACAGCCCAGTGTCCTGGTGAAAAGCCAGGCAGAG